ACAATCTGTTCCCGGTCACAAAGGTTCAGCACACGTACTCCTGAGATGCCAGTGGTTCAGACCAAGGTTCGAGCTACTTTCCATGAAAGGTCATTGTTTACCCTTTCCACAAGTACACAACGGTGAGCTTGCCCAGCGTTTCGAGGAAGACTAACCGGAACAATCGTTTCCGATCTCGGCGGAAGAACAATCTTCTTAATGCTGTACACGTTCCCTGGTAACGCACCTTCCATAAAAAGTTCCTTCTCTCCACGGACGGGTATACGCTGACCGGTGGCTGTTACCAAATTAATGCGTTCTCGGTTGTATGCGGAGTCCCCAAGGAACTGACATAAGTTGGGAACTAACAACCGTACGAGAGGCTCCAGTGTCTATTGTCAGTTTACACGGCATTCCGTTGACCTCGCCCTTCATGATTAGACTATTCCCATCATGGGTTTAGTGAGATCGCGATCCTTGGGGCTCTTTTAACATCAGCAAGCACCCGCCCCGCAGTTCTGGCTTTTACTCGTTTCCCTGCTGCGGCTCGGCGGTGCTGTTGGCCGCACTACCCTCCTGAGATCGTTCAACTTCCCTTTCTAGGGTTCGCTTATGGCAGCTGGATCGAAGGTGGCCCTTTTTCCCACAGCCATAGCACCTAGGGCTGTATCCTTTGTTGCGGTCGCAAACTGTAGCTGCTGCAACCTACCTGACGCGATGGGAACGATGATCCTGCCGCACGGCTTCCACCTCTAGTGCATGGGCCAAGGCGTCCTTAAGCGTCTCGTGGTGCCCGAGCCTCACAGCTGCTCTGACTTCAAGGTCGCGGATGCCGTCGATGAATGTCTGCACCAGGGTCCCTTCAATGAGCGCAGGTACAGACCGGTATGCTTTTCGCACCAGCTTCTCCACCTCTAGAGCCCACTGCTGCAAGTTTTCGTTGATGCGCTGCACGCGATCTTTAAGCTGCGCACGAAAGACGTGTTCCAGGTGAGCGTCGCCATATCTCGCCTCCAATGCCTCAAGGAGTTGCTCATAAGTCACTTCCTCACCGAGAGCTTCCAGAACTGTTAAGGCCTGGTCGCGCAGGCCTAGTGTGAGAGCAGTCATGGCCTGACTTTTATTCCAGCCGTTCGCCTTCATAACAGCCTCGAACTGGATTTTGTAGGCTGACCAGGAAGAGGTACCATCGAACGGTGGCACCTTGAACCAACGTAGCGAAGGTGTTGTAGCTACTACGGGAGCTGTAGCTCCATCTCCAAGTTTGAGTTCGTCCAGTGATTTCTTCATGTCAGCCATTACGTTGTCAACCCGATGGTTTACTTGGTCGATTCGGGTTTCAGCTTTCTCGATTCGGTTTTCAGCTTCCGACAGGCGGTTGTCATGCTGAGCAACCCTATCCTTCACCTCCTTTATATCCTTCCCGAAGGTAGCGTGAAGATCCTTCATGAGAAGCATCTGCTCTTCCGACCGACGGGCCTGTTCCTCTTGTCCGCCCCGCAGCTGCTCCTCCAAACGACGAACCTCGTCTTCCTGTCGGCGGGCCTGTTCCTCCTGTCCGCCCCGCAGCTGCTCTTCCAATCGGCGTGCCTGTTCCGCCTGCTGGCGAGCCTGTTCCGCCTGCTGGCGAGCCTGTTCCTCCTGCTGCTCTTTCGACCCACGGGCCTGTTCCTCCTGTCGGCGAGCCTGCTCCTCCTGTCGGCGAGCTTGCTCCTGCAGCATCACCATCAGAGCACCTAAGTCAGGTGCTGCAGATGTAGGGGCTACCGACGGGCCTGCAGCCGGTGGCTGGCCCTCCGACGTCTGCGGCGTTGCACCACCAAATCTTCTTTGGTCCGTCTCCTGCTGGCGTTGACTTCGGGTACAGACACCCTCCGTTTCCTCCTTAGGTAAAATCGGCATGATTTTATCCCACTTCTGACACCAATTGTTACGAGCTTGAGGTTCGTGACAATAAAAGTTGCCGATAAAATTACTTAAATTTTCTTTACACAAATTTAAACTTAAAACACTAATAATTAATCACACTGATTCACTTTATTCCGCTCCAAAGCTTCGCTTGTCTCGCCAAATTCAATACTTCCCCGATCGCGGCAAGCAGCGGGTTTAAATACACTTAGTACCGAATCATCCAGAACATTCAAGTAAATACGCGCACCAATCGACAAAGCGTCGAAAGTTCGAGAGTCAGCTTCCAGAAGCACAGTTCTTCCTTTCGACAATAGATGGCGCTGTCGGTTGAAAGATTAGTGGTGTCATTTTCTGGAAAGCTCTCCCCTCGCTCCGTTACCCGACACTAGATGGCGCTAGTGCCTGATGTCAACTTAGCCGCGCAACACTATGTAAGATCAAAAGTAGGCATATGTAACTCGTTACTGTAGTGCATTTGATATGTTTGTTGACGCCCAGGTAGATAATTTCCACACTTATTCGCAAAAGAACTGCGTCACTCATGTACGGGGTCCATGGGAGCACCAACAGCATTCTTAAGGTAATTAACGAGAAACTCGAATGTGCTTTTTTGAGACACGGGATGCATGTTCATGTCCATCCATGTACCCAGTGCCTCGGTGAGGCACCCCAGGTATATGGAACAATGTTTATTTAATTTATTACCTACTTTTATTAACATAGATTTTAAGACTTATTCTGTGCATCTTTAAGAAATTATGATTTGGAATAAAGGATCTATTACTTTCGTTTCTTTTTTTGATTACGGTGACATCGGTTTATATTATTTTATTACTGTTAAATAATTATAATATTTTCAATAATATTATTACGAAATCTTATGCATTTGATATATTAGTTTTAGTAAAGATTTAAAATATTAATATTTATTAGAATTAAATAGAATGAGTAAAACCGGCGATGAGGTTCGCCACCCGTCACGTTCTGTCTCCCGGTGGGGCGAAAAGTGGATTGCGGAAGCCCGTCTGGCTACGCTGAATGTATGTGGACCAATGAATGATAAGACGGATGAAGTATGCGAAATGATGAATGACAGAGGAATAGATGAGTTATGTGTAAATGAGACGAAACGAAAGGGAAATGATGGCACTGCACATGGGCATGTACACCGCGTATTGGTCTGGTGTAGACGAGACCGTGCGAGCATGCCAGGGAGTCGGTTTCATCCTTCCAGAAAGAATGGGACAATGTGTGAAAGAGTATGAATATGTAAGCCCGAGGCTGCTATGGATACGAATGAAAATGGGCTTAAAGAAGCTGTTTGTTACGCCTAACGTCTAAGCCCACTTATATCCGAGAGCAGTTTTAGGACATGGTAAGGATGGTGTTGATGAAACGTAAGAAAAATGAAAATATTATTATATTACGAGATTTTAACGGAAGGGTTGGGGTGAAGAGAAAAAATAATTACAACAAATTAAAAATATTTACCCAACAACCAATAAATCGTGAACTCCTTAAACTTTAAAGCAACACTCGCAGGCGATCGAGACGTATTAGGTTGCTTTGCATTTTTACTTTTTTTCTGCATGTTCAATGAATCGATGAATGGATGGATGTTCAATGGATGCCAATGACTTTAATTTAACCTTGTAAAAGCAAATAGGTCATGGTTAATAACATGGTTGGTAGTTTAATTCATTTTTTTCAACATTCGTGGATTCAGATAATTCCCACATATTATGCAGGGTATCTTCCTTTAAAAAAAGCGTCGTTTTCTTTTATTTCATTTTCATACCCAGGGGTTATTATTGTTGCGCACCACAGTTGACGGCACTAGCGCCATCTGGTACCAAGTATCAGAAATAGGAGTGTCAAGATATTTCTGGCACTCTCCCAACAGCGCCATCTAGTAACGAATAGAAGAATTAAGCTTTCTAGAAAGTCCACTCTCGAACTTTCTGCGCTTAGTCGGTCGGGACCGGTATTTGCTGGAACATTCTGGATGTTTCGGTGGAAATTGCGTATTTAAAGCCGCTGAGGGCCGCGACCGGGGCAGTATTGAATCGGCGATACGAGCAAAGTTTTCGGAGTGAAATAAAGTGAACTAAAGTGTTAAGTGTGATTTAAGTTTTAATTGGTGTTCAGTAATTAAAGTGTCAATTTTGGTAATTCAATGGGCAGTTTTTATTGTCACGAACCCTAAGATCGTTATCAGCCTGTCTAATAAAAATGTCTGTCTACTAAAAAAAATTAAAATGAATGAAAACGGACTGCATATTTTCGGATAATGGCTGCACAAGGCCTTTTTGTTACGAAATAATATCATATTTATTGTAATAATATATACATGTAATGCTTATTTCTCTAATATACCTATAAAATTATATTTTTTTTGGAAGTGTAAGTAAAACTAATATTAGAATTGAGCCTATATTAGTTTTGACTGCCATGTTGATCTAGTGCTCGTAAGCGTGACTGATTCCCGGTTGCGAATTCCAGGTCAGACGAAAATCAGTTACTGGATTATTGAATCAAGAAATTATAATCAGCAGCAGTCAAGAGACAGGCACATTGAAGCCTGGTCTCACTACGGTCGTTTTTTTTTGCGACCAAAGCAATTAAGGGCAACCCTCAGGTAACGGGGAAGGGAGGTGGAGGACGCTCATCGCAGCCGGCTGCGTGGTTATGTGGAGACTTTTACCCACTAAACTCCACCTTTAGGGATTGGCTTACTGATCTGACGAGAGATCTTTAAGATCAGTAACTCAAAACTCAGTCAACAACACTCCGGTCGTGTAAGATTATCGCCCTATCGGACTAGATAGGGCACAATAATGCTGTCCTGCGCAGATAGTTAATATCCGTTGAGACTAGCCGCCGTGACCGAATTTCGGTCATGACTTGGAGGACATTTCATTAGTTTTTATCTAACTTGTATATAAAATTGGAATGAACACGAAAACAAATAAAACAACAATTCTCATTTAAAATAGAGGTTTAAATAGTAAAAAGGTGAACATCAACGCCAATGAGTCACAGTTATAAAATAATAGGGCTAAGCTTTAGTCAGAGATCAACTGTCCATTTTATGTAAAATATTTAAATGTTCAAGTGAGACATTCCAAAATGGCGCGCCTATCAAATTTGAAATTAGCCCAAGATGGCGCCACGAAGTTGAAAAAGCAATTATCGTCCGTGCTTTCATCGTTTGGCGGGTCTTTCTGAACGGGCGAAAAGTTATTCGTGTGAGTGTTTTGGGGTGTGAACAGCTGTCGTTTCGCTTGTTTTCTATCCTTTCTATTTCCGTTGGGGTTATTAGCTTTAGTGCCACTTGCGTGGACCGAGTTGCTGCCGTTTTTCACCTTGTGTTCATTCTGGTAATCCTGGATCTCGTTTTGAAGACCCTGCGAAATCTTTTGTTTGTTTTTGATCGTTGTAAACTCTAAATCGCCCATGGACTTGTGTCTTGTTCTTTTAGCACTATTGTATACTTTAGGATTCCGTTCCGCCACCCAACGTCGCATGCGCTTCACGAAGGGTAGAACCATGAAGAAAGCGTTGGGACTGACACCCATTTTAACCTTCGGCGTCATATCCTTTCTGTTCGACGGCAGGTCAGCCAAAGGGAACCATTCGCAGGCCTTGATCTCGTTTCTGGTGCGCGGCTGGAACTTTGTATCGCGGGGTATGTAGCCTATTATATACAAGCGCACAATTTGATCATGTATCATGGCTTCTATGTAATCATTCTTGTTTATTAGTTTACTTATGTCGAAGCCCGTTTCTTCTAAGACCTGAAACAAGAATTTTCAATATTAATGCCGAGTCATGGCGGTTAAGAATATCCACTACCCCATATCTTCCCGTGGGTGTCGTAAAAGGCGATGGAGGGAAACAGGCAGGAGATGGGCAGGTGTCGGATTTATCGTCCACAAGTCTCTCGTTAACAACGTTTTAAAGATTAGTAGTGTATCGACGAGGGCTGCGTACCTGATACTCAGAATCACCAAACGGTATTCGCTGAGTCATACAGGTTTACGCACCAACCTCGACACATCACGATGAGGTGGAGGAAATGTATGAGGATATTTCTAGAGCCATGCATTTCTCCAAAACCCACTATATAGTGTTAATGGGAGACCAACGCAAAACTAGGCATAAGAGAGGATGGTGATCTAAAGGTATGGAAATTTGAGATAGGGCATCGGAACCCAAGGGGCCAGCAGCTGGCCGACTTCATGGAGAGACACTCTTTATGATGAACTCTTTCTTCCAGAAGCGGCCCCACAGAAAGTGGACCTGGTCGATCGCCGACAGCTCGACAAAAATAAGATTGACTTCATTATGACGACTAGACGGCAAAACTGTAGTGATGTCTCAGTGATCGCAAGGGTGAAAACTGGCAGCGATCACCGAATGGTTAGAGGCACACTGAACCTAAACGTTAAGTTGGAGAGGTCTCGTCTAATGAAGTCAACACTTCGTCCCCTTCGTACTCTAATCCTAAATCCTAAAACCTTTCAGCTCGAGTTACAAAACCGTTTTCAGTGCCTAGATGAATGCGATGCAGTGAATGATATGAATGATAAGCTCGTGGAAACTCTCCATGCGGTCGGAGCTAAGTTCTGCAAAACACGCCGCAGAAGAACACAAAACTCTTCAACCATACTCTTAATTCCATGGCTGTTAGACGGGAAATGAAGCTGAAGTCTTCAACAGATTTGACAGCATACAGGCCACTGCTTAGACAGATCTCCAAATGCATGCGGCGGGACTTACGCAACTTTAATACTGCTCGTATTGAAGAAGCGATCGAGCGGAACCAGGACTCCAAAGTCTTTGCCAGAGATCTGTCTGCCAAAAAGAGCCAACTGTCAAAGCTGAAGACTGAGTGTAACAGCATCATTTCCGGGACACCTGAGATTTTGAGTGAGATTGAGAGGCTCTATGGGCAGCTGTACATACCATCGTTGGAGCCACACGCAAGTGCTGAATAACGATCAAAAAGCAAGTCTTATTTTATTTTATTTTTTATTTATTTTTATGTTATGGAAAACAAACAGCTTACAAATCTTAAGTAAATAACATATTAAATTTACAAGAAGCCAATAACAGGTTCTTACTAATAGAAACACACTAACATAATCTTTCATCGTTTAAAGGACATAGCACAAATACGAGCAACAAAAATGGAGTCTAATTTAAATATACAACATGCATAAATATTGTAAGTGAAACAAACAATAATAGCCACAAAAAGAAAAGCAGGGCTAAAAGCACTACATAATTTTTCTTAAAATAAATTAAATTACGACACAAAAAACTCTCGTCTTAATGCCCGCCTTGACGATACATAGCTAGTATTAAACAAATCAAAATCATGTTTTTTGCATAAATTATAAAAATTATTAATAGGCCGATATATGAAATTATTTCTTCCATTATTATTTGATGAAGCTGGTAAGTAGAGTAATGCTTTCGTTCTAAGGTTTACTTTAGACGTTTTCAGTGATATTTGTGATAGCAAATTAGGGCAGTCAACATTGCCAGACCAGATTTTCAATAAATATACAATGTCAACAATCTCCGACGCTTTATCAGAGGTAACAGATGATGCTGTCTGCATAAGGATAGATTGTCTTCTGATCGGTAGTTTCTATAGGTACTATAGCAAAGATATCGTATGAATTTACGTTGGATACTTTCAATCCGTGAAATGTATGTATCATACATCGGGTACCAGATCTGCGAAGCATATTCAAGCGTACTGCAGACGTAAGTACAGTACAAGATTTTAATTGTTTTAATGTTATAAAATTTCTTTGCGTACTGCAAAACAAAACCTAACGCCTTGGATGCCCTAGCTATGATGTCAACATGGGTGTTGAATAAGAGAGTTGTGGAAAATCCCTAGATCACGTACAACAGATTTTTTTTTGTAACTTCTGGCCTTTATGGTGACAGCCAAAATGAATTAAGTTTCGCTTGCGTTAATATGTAACAAGGGTACATTTTGATGCGTTAAGATCAAGCTTATTGATATTACAGTATTCCTCCAATCTTAGTAGATCTTCTTGCAGTAATTCAGCATCAGCCTGAGATGAGATTATGGAAAATATTTTCATATCAGCAAAACACAGTAGGTGTGATGATTTAAAACAGGGTTCAATATCGTTAACAAATATAAAAATAGCAACGGCCCCAGCAAAGAGCCCTGTGGTACGCCACTCGGTATTGACACCCAACCTGATATATAATTGATAACAACTACAGCCTGCGAGCGATTGTCGATATAAGAGGAGAACCACTGCAGTAGGTCTCCACAGATACCAACATACTGAAGCTTTTTTAAAAGCAAATATGTTCAATATGGTGGAAAGTCTTACTATAATCTGTATAAATAATGTCAACTTGATAACCACCATCCATGGCTTTAGTCGAGAATGAATTAATGAGCACCTAGTTAGAAACGGTAGATCTGCCCTTGATGAAACCATGTTGAGACTGGCTTATGCTTTGTTCGAGTAACGGGTATCCGCCTGCTCATAAACCAACTTTTCAAAGACTTTGGAAATTATGCACAACTTAGAAATTGGCCTATAATTAGTGACATCAGTCCTAAGACCCTTCTTGTGCACAGGGGTGATATATGCACATTTCCAAATATCAGAAACTGAGCATTCATCCAACGATTTGCGAAACAGCAAACTTATTGGTAGTGTAATCGTCTCTGCACAATTAATAAGAAAAGTGACAGTATTAGGTCTAGCAGATTTTGGTGGATCAAGAGCTTAGCTCGTCACACCTATGCCGGTAGTTGTTGGGAGTACTAAGCTCGAACTTGTTGACGAATACGTTTACCTGGGACAAATAGTCCGGCTAGGTAAGTCCAACTTCGACCGAGAGGTCAATCGACAGATTCAACTTGGCTGGGCAGTGTTCGGGAAATTAAGACACATCTTCTCATCAGGTATACCTCAAAACTTGAAAACTAGATTGTACAATCAGTGCGTGTTGCCAGTGATGACTTATGGATCTGAGACATGGTCCTTCACTGCTGGCAGTATGGGGACGTACAAGGTCACTCAGCGAGCTATGGAGAGGGCTATTCTTGGGGTTTCTTTGAGTGATAAGATTAGAAATGAGGATATCCGCAGTAGAAACAGAGTAACCGACATAGCCCAGCAGATTAGTAAGCTGAAGTGGCAATGGGCCGGCCATATAGCTTGAAGAACCGACAACCGATGGGGAAAAAAGGTTCTCGAGTGGCAGCCTCGTACCGGTAGGCATAATGTACGGCGACCCTCCACTAGATGGATTGATGACGTGGTAAGACATACAGGAAGTCGATGGATGCAGGTGGCTCAGGACCGTGCTTTGTGGCATTCCTTGGGGGGAGGCCTATGTTCAGCAGTGTACTTGTGAAGGGCTGTAACGATTATGATGATGATTTATAATAAATGAGAAGTGGGAGTCAAAAATGTTTGGTTCTAGGTGGCACACATAAATTGCATGAGCAACATGCACTAGGCGTGTGTAACTCTTTACGGAACTGACTCACTGTTCCGAATCACTGAAGTGATTCAAAAGATTGGTTCAGTAACAACGTTTCAAATGCATCATTTGGATCTGGAACATTACTTTGCTCACTGCTCATTTATTATAGCGCGTCTCTCCCGCGAAGCGACTGAGCCACGAGCGAGTAGCGAGTGAGCGGGCGAAATAATTACAATCTATACAAGTCAGAAAGAGATAACAAATAGGAAGTGTATTACTCAACTCTTACGGATTTTCGCTATAGTTGTTCATGCACGTAAAAATGACCTCTAAGGCGCTTACATATCAAATACTGTACGATCGTTTTTTGCATATAAAGTTTGCATTAATAAGTTGTCATTTTACGTTGATCCGGTACTTGTTAAATTGTTTATGTTCGTTCGCGCCTGTTTACGAAAACATACTTAGTTTTGTGTAGGATTTCTTTGCGTAGTGATTAATGATTATTGTAACTTACTTTCTTCCTTTTCATCATAAATAATATGCTTGTCATAGTTGGCCATACATTAAGGACTAGCCACCAGTACTAAGCCTGGATAAATTATGAAGGATGATCGAATTTATATACAACCTTATTACGGTACAAAAATAAATATGTAACAATAAACAAAACCTAAGCACAATAATATAAATAAACAAAACCTAAGCAAAATAAAAATAACTTAAGCACTTAAGTAGTCATTCAGCATTGTTGCCAAATAACATTTCAATGAATCAGCATCAGTAATAAATGCCCGCAACGCAACTTAATGTATTCGTAACATTCTGCATATCTTTTGAGTCGATGATCCAAATGAGCCAAATGAAACATTTGTGTTTCAGAACATTTCAGTGATCGAGATGCAAATGTTCCAATCGCAAAAATGATACACTTTGCCCACCTCTGACATGCACCATACAGAAGCAGAAACTTTTTTAATCAATGTAGATTATAAACAATACTTATTGAAAGTCAATTTTTTCATTTACCACTGGTTCGCAACAAATAAATTGCAAAAAAAGCAAATATACAGGACTCACTGAAACTTCTGCACCCCTAGCAGCTCATAAATATTTAAATTTCGGATGTTAGTTTTTAAAATATACGAAACTCATTAATTATTGGCAGGGAGTCGAGTGTCAATTGTTTTTTATCACAAGTTCCACAAATGAAAGTGGTACATATAAAAAGCACTAAATATATTAGATAACACATAAATTGGCTAATATTTCCAATATGGACCATTTCTCTTTCGAAAAAAATATGGGCTTTGAAATCGATGGTCCATATTGGAAATATTAACCCATAAATTATTTTGATTATGAGTTATGCAAAACTTTTAGTGTACTTCACATAGTTGCCACATTTAGTACATAGTTACAACAAGTTCACTGCTGAACATGCCTCCGTCACGATTCTGACCCAATTCTTTTCATTGACTAGCTGCATTTTCATTATTATTGAGTTATTACCAGCAAGATGCTGTTGCGTGCCTCGTGTTTCATTTCACTCTGTCGCCACTGACAACACCTACGGAACGATATCAGTAGTAGATTCTTTTATGCCGCCACTACATGGCACAGATAATAATAATGATTAATACCTCCCGAGCAGCACACTTCCAAGGTTCCTCGTCTTCATTAACCTTGCCCTTAGGGAAACCCCACGAGGCCTTAGTCCAATATGATTGTACAAGCAGCACATGCGTGAGATCCGTGTCTAAGAGAATAGCGCCGTATGTCGGCACAGTTTGTTTGTACTCGCGCCAGTTGTCAAGCACTGCGTCCAGGCTACTGACATGCTCTCTCAGTTGTGGGACATGCTGAAAATATTAAAGAAAATTTACGTAAAGCAAGTTGTAAAATACTTTTACAGACTAATTAACAGCCTGGCCACGGGACATTCGCCGCAGCGAAAATTCGCGGGGCGCGAACGGCGAGGCGTTAGCGACTAAATCAAATGTATAGAAATGTATGGATCAAGCCACGTGTAGCGGCGAGTGGCGAAGCGACCAGCGAAATTTACCGGGCGAATCGCGCGGGCGACTGGCGGCGCGGCGGACGACTGAAACAAGTGTATGATTTAATACGTCTCTGCTCCAACGAAAGTACTTTATGATCCGCGCAACCAACTTCGTAGGATTCACATGATTTATGGTAGCGAAAGTTTAAATGTTTAATAAAAATTTTTTGGATACGCTCCAGACGATTTTGATATATGAGGTACTGGGGCGACCAAATTGGGCTAGCATACTCTAGAATGCTTCTTACATATGCGAAATAAACCATCTTAATGGCTGATATATCTGATAAAGGCTTACACACACGAAGAACAAAACCCAGATTTTTATGTTTTCGTTACAGTTTTTTCGATATGATCTGATAGTATCATTTTTTTGGTCAAATTGGACACCCAAGTCTCTTAAGCTTTCTTTTCTGTTTATTTTTTCGTCATTAAAATGATAGTTAAATAGGATAGGCCCCTTTTTTCGAGTGAATGAGATGCATTCACATTTACCAATGTTGACTGTTATATTGTTTTAGTATAATAGTTGAATAAATAATTAAGGTCAGTTTGTAACAACAAACAGTCTTCTACAGTATTGATTTTGCAAAATCTTATTATCATCTGCGTACATAAGATAATTAGAATGTTTTAAGCCTAGACCTATATAATATAAGTAGGCATTGTAAAAGAGCGGTCCTAAATGAGAACCTTGCGGAACACCTGTGGGAATGTCAACGTAGTTGGAGCAATAACCGGCCATAACCACTGCCTAAGAACGATTCGTTAGATACGACTCGATCCACCTAAGTAAGTCCGTCCCCATGGATGCCCAGAGTTTGTAATTTATTTAACAGGATCACGTGATCCACACGATCAAAAGCTTTCTCAAAATCAGTGTATATCACGTCAACCTGTCTCCACCCCGTCCATTTTTTATAAAACAAAATTTGAAAAAGATTCTAAATTAGTAGTAGTGGATCGTCCTCTCATAAAACCTGTTCAGGAATCGATTGCGACGGGATACCGTAAATAGAGTTATTATTAACGCACACGTAATTAACACGCGCACGTAATTAACGCACACCCTCATAGACCTCAATTAGTATATGATGTTATAATCATAATAAACATTTTTATGCACTGATTATTTATCAAATTAGTTATACTAATTCCGGAAGAATGTTGTGGTCACAGTACAAATCCACGAACGCAAAGACTTTAACGTGCTTGAAATAAAGTTCATTTTTCTTTATTTTTATTGAATGACAGAATTAGTAATAATACAAATAAAACTGCCTTAAAAGTCTTATTGGCTTAAATTACGGTCCATTTCAGTTTGTTTTGACTGTACAGATTTAGTGTGACTGTAATTTACGTAGTTTTAATTATTTTTGGGATAAAAAATTACCTATATTAAAAATGATAGGAATCGATTCAGTAAACGATTCTGAACAAACAACTTTCTCAAAGTGCGTTAATTATGTTACATGTTGTATATATAAAATATGTAACGTAATTAACGCACACCCTCATACACCTCAATTAGTATATTATGTTATAATCATAATAAACATTTTTATGCACTGATTATTTATCAAATTAGTTATACTAATTCCGGAAGAATGTTGTAGTCACAGTACAAATCCACGAACGCAAAGACTTTAACGTGCTTGAAATAAAGTTAATTTTTCTTTATTTTTATTGAGTGACAGAATTAGCTAATAATACAAATAAAACTGCACTCTTAAAAGTCTTATTGCCTTAAGTTACGGTCCATTTCAGTTTGTTTTGACTGTACAGACTTAGTGTGACTGTAATTTACGTAGTTTTAATTCTTTTTGGGATATAAAAATACCTTGATTCAGTAAATGATTCTGAACAAACTACTTTCTCAAAGTGCGTTAATTGTGTTACATGTTGTATATAGGATATAAATACCTCTATAATTTTTAATATCCATACGCGACCCTTTCTTATGCACAGGAACTATATGAGCAGATTTTCCCATCTTCGGAAAAATACCCTCACAAAGGGAGCGGTTAAAAATTATAGTTAAAGGAAGAGCAAGAGATTTAGCACATTGTGACCAAAATATTGCAGGCAATCCATCACTACCAGCTCCTTTACTTACATCTAGAGACTTCAGCATTTTTTCTACAGAAAGTATGGATGTTTGAACACAAGAAACTATGTTATGGATATATAAGGGATGTTACTGCATGGACGAAAAACTGGGAAGGGCTTAACAAAAACACTCTGAAAAATACACTAAAGGCATTACATATATCTTTACCGTTTTCGTATTGAACCCCATCCAAATTAAACATTTTAGGATAAGCTGATCCATCCCACATAGCTTTTACGAAGGTCCGGAACACTTTAGGGTTATTTTTAATATTACTTTCGCAATTAGATTTAAAGTACTTAAAGCAATCATTTTATACATGTCATTCCCTTGACCTTAATAATGAAAATTCATCGTATTCCAGTCTATTCCCATATTTTTTCCAGCGTGAATGAGCCTTTGCCTTTTCTTTAATTATCCTTATTAACGCCGGGGTAGCGTAACGGTAACAGGGTTTTTTTTTTTGAAGTTTTCTTGTACATGTTTAATTATCTAAATTAAAATTAAGAACGCTTATCGCCTTGCGTTCACTTTAACTCTCCTTTTTTTAATGACTTGTTTATTTTTTAAACACATTTTGCTACTCAACGGCCTACCACGCAAATATCGCTTGAATATCATGGTATAAGAGATTCGATGGTTAACATTCTGCAAGACTTAGTCAATATTCTGCAGCTTTCAGAGTTTCCAAACAACTCTCCAAAAATAAATTGAACATCTACAGAGAAGTTACGTAATCCTGTCTGACCTATAAATGGATGCCAAACCAATAGGCTCTGTTGTCCTGACAAAAGTACTAGAGTCCAACAACTACTATGTATTTTTAAATGCCAGTACCAGTCATAAATCAACCCTGTTCACTCTGTAATAAGCCTTTTCCAAGTCCATATTGTTACCGTTACAGTCTATTTACTCCTGAACAAAGACCTCCTTTATTGATAGCTCCTTCGGGGGGATAATGGCCATAGTATTCATGCTTGAATGTTCCTAATTACTAGGAAGATCCTGCTGCCACTCTCCTGATTTGTTTCCATCTATTGTCTCTTACGACATGCATTGCCACAAGGATTTTCGGCACGAGTCTGGGGGAATGTAAACAGCGCAAAAATGTAAATCATATCCAGAAGAACAGGCATGCGACGGCACAGTAACCCAAAATATTTGAAGAGAACAAATCGAGGTCATAAACCATGGCACCAAGCGTACACTGTATCAATATCACTATTCCTCCACCTTTACACTTACCACTGGCAATCGGATGACACAGAATCGGGCTGGACGGTTAGCCCTAAAAATATCATACCTATCATCACATAATTCGACGTCGAAAATGCCACTGTGCAGCCACAACTCCATCAAAACTATAATGTCATAATCATTATTCAAAATACTTATGAAATATCTAGTAGTATTGAAGTTATGAAGTAACTGGTATAGTTACACAATTCACGAGCTTGCATGAACTTTATGTGTTGTTTGAGTGATACATGCATGATGTGGAGTGTGCTTGTCTGAGGGAGTGGTCAGTGGCGAGCGAGCAAGCGCACGCACACATTGACGTGTCAACAGGTAGGTTTCTACTACAAATGACACTTATCATACTCTTGAATCGCAAATTACTAGATCACCTTTCAAATGTGTTATGATTATGGCAAATACCTGTACCACAAGTACAATGCGGGGATGGGCCGAGTACAAGTCTCACAGAGTAACCAAGAACCCAAATATTACTTGGTTAACTGTAGCCCAATTCAAGTATACGGCCGAATTACTCGGTTTAGTTCAAAGACTTCTATGTGTACTACTAGACAGACACTACATTACTAATAAATTGGGCTTAGTGCACAATCTAACACTGATTGTCATTATTAATTGTATGCACTTTATCAAAGTGATTTAAACTTTATTTGAGACTAGCGATCCACCTTCAAACAGATGATTTCTGGATCTCAAGAACCTCCTACTGGGTCTAATTGTGTATCTAAACCATCCAGGGACACAAACACCCCCAAAATTTTCATCATAATCAATCGAGATATTTAGTTTTAGCATGACTAATGGACAGCCATTGATTTTTATATATAGAGATATGTAACTTTATTTCGTATTTGTTACAATCAGTTAAAAAGAACATATCTGACTAAAAATAATAACTGTCGTAAATGTAGTTTTATATGTGGTAGAGCCATGCTGCAGTTGTATTAATAGCATAGTTGTAGCACGAATGGTTCGGCTTGACCGGGGAAGGACCACACTCCCACAAAATAGCAGCGTAAAATAGTAGCTTAATGCTGCTGTATTTCGTATGGTAAGTGTAGAGACTGAACACTCCTTTTACTGGAAACGAGGCATTCCATCTTAGTCCTCACGGGTGACAACACATCTGAATTTGATATGTAATCAAGGATAGATGTAGATGTCTATGGGTCACAGCAATCACTTACCATCAGGTGGACTGTGTGCTCCTATCCTATAAAATAATGACAATACAACTATGTGGCATGTTCACTATGCAAGTTAACCGTGTCCATGCCCATGTGATCCACAGCTGACTACAAGATATTCTATCACCATCTTCATTGATTCTTAATTGGGGATAATTAAACTATGTCTATGGACCACAACCACAGTAACCACCCACAATTAAGAGAACTGTGTGCTCATTAATCACTCTTTTCTATAAGAAAACTAATTTAGTTTATGGACTTAAAAATACCTGAAAAATATGTGCAGCAAATTCTCTTATACCACATGGGTTAAGCCTGTTAGATTCATCTGTGCAATAATAGTCTAAATAAAACCAATGGGCTAGTTCTATTTGAAAACATATCCTGACTAAATTCCCCCTGTCCTCTGGTGGCAGGTTTATTATGAAGCGGCTGAAAATAAATGAAATATACCAATTAAACAAAAACTAATTCGGTCATAGTCATTAATGTAAAGGGTAGGTACCTCTTAATAATCATGTTTAAGAGGTGGGACTTCCTTAGTAATAAAAAACTCATTAGTAAAAGTTCATATTTTTTTTACGTTTTTCTTTTCATATTCCAACATTGTCATCTGATTCTAAGCTATGTTCAAAATTTCAAATCTCTTGCTAATGGGAGAAGTGTTTAAAATTTAAGTTACAATATTTCACCTGGAACAATAGATAGACAGACACAGACAGGCAAACAAGAAAGTGAGTTAATAAAAATGGTAACCCAGTAGCGTAAGCACAAGCAAGCGCTACTTTTTTCGGGTTGGATTTAGACTCATTTTTTGACAGGAATTTGGGGGAGTAAAGTGTTTTATTTGGTGACCAAACCCCAATTAAAACAATACCACTTGCATTAAAAGGTTATGCACCATTTTTGAGACAATAAAAAAAGTATTATAACACAAAATTTGTAAGACATATGCTTGTGACATATTTAAGACATATGTTTGTGAAAAAACATATGCAATATTACTGTGAAAGCTGGATAGCATACAGTTTTGTGTAAGTACAACAAGGACATAAGACCATGTCAAATACTAGTGTCACATTATTATACTTCTATGGTATTTTTATTTTTCTGCGGCCTACTATCAACTGTCAAATTGCATGACAAACAAATTTTTATGCATTCCGCCATAGATTACTGTATATATACTAGACATTCCGCTGTAGGTTGCTCTTCTTGCGTGAATGTGTGCTCTCCAGTGTATTATTGCAGCTTTTATTGTGCTATACTTGAGCACCCCAAAATACTTTCAGTTGTAATAGGTTAGAAGGTTCTGGCGGGAGCAAAGCACAGCATAGAAGCCTTTGTGGTTCTCTTTTTAACACCCAGAAATACTTGAGCACTCATAAATCCTTACAGTTGTGATAGGAGACAACTCCACTTCCCCCCCTCATGCTGAAGACGATAAATGTTATCAGTTTGAGGTTAGGTCTATAGGATTTTCTTTTTAATTTTTCTCAAGAATCGTATATTAACTATGATGGAAGTGGTGTTGGAGGTTGGGGACACCTGCATCCATTGACTACTTCCATGTTACATTATTAGGTTGTTAATTCATCTGGTGGAAGGTCAGTCATCAATTTTTTCAGTGCAACTGTCATTGGAGAACCACTGCATGTTGCTAGTCGTGACTTATGGCCTGAAATATGGTGCCTTACTGCTGGCGGAGTAACTAACTGACTTAGCCCCAAAGGATCCATTTGTGGTCATATAACTCTAAGACTTGACAATTGATGGGGAATATGGGAAGAGGTTTTATTATTTTTACAAAGCTACAGAGTTTCACATCCCTCTTTTACAGGGGGATTGACAGACTTTCTTTTAACTGGATTTAGGTATGTTGTGCTTATCTACCTGTGCCTGTGGCAAACCAAAGGCAGATAGACTTATGTTCTTAAATAGAAAACTTATAATATATAAATGTGATTAAGATCACAAAAAAAATTACCTAATACAGAAGAGTTAACTTATTTGACAAGTTTTTTACAAAACGAATAGTTCACTTGCCCATATTATTTATTATTAGAATATATTATACAAACCTGCATAAATCATCAAGAATATCAATAGGTATAGAATGTTTGTTATGATGAGCATTAGCTGCTGTTGATCCCATGTTTCTAATTTAAAACAAAATAATTGACTATGCAAATTATTAACTAGCTTGCTACATATTTATTTATCTATGGTTTTAACTATAGATTATATTATATTAGGGATGATCGATGTTACAGAAACATCGATGATGACATCGATGTTGATATCGATAGCTTAACATCGATGTTCGATGTTTACAAAACATCGATGTTGCTCATTATCGATGTTATAGCACATGTACCATTTTAGTAGGTTAAAATTAGATGAAAAAAATTTTTGTGTTTTTTATGGTTTATTATTAATGAAATTAAGGAAATTAATAAAACATTTAGTGTTAAACAGTAATTTGAAAAATGGGAAAAACTTACCAATATTTAGTTAATTTGTTATATTTTTTGCCGATAATGATGAATATTATTATTTTGATATTTTAATGTTCCTATACAATTATAAATCTGGTATTAAAAATTTACTATCCTAATTTACGATTTAGACGTAGGTTTTATATTAACTACTCCTATCGCGAAATAAAAAAATAATTACCTATAGAAGGAAATTTAACAAACTTCACAAAAACAAAATAATAGACTTTTCCGTCACCTTTGTTCACACAATTTTTAATCAGGCAGCCCAAGCAGTAAGTATCCACAGCCGTTTATAAAATGCACTGTGGAATGCACTATGCAGTGAAATTGTCTACGCTCAAAATCGTTCAATGATTTATTTTCATAAACTTCAAGAAAACAATAAACTCGTTATCCCAAGATCAAAAAAACAGCTAAATATAATTAAATTGTGTAGATACATATTGTTTCAAAATCGTTTGTCTATAGCCAAGAAAATATATTACCTTTAAATATAAATTAATGCAAAGTAATTACTTTCACTCGAAAACCTACCCCAATTGTAAATTTATATAGCTTACTTGACGCTCCTCTGGAAAGAGTAAATAATATTCGAGACTTAGGGCTGTTAATAGATTCCAAATTAGACTTTCATCTTCACATGACAAGTATCTGTAAGAACGCGCATAGAATGTTAGGTTTTGTTATTAGGACTGGAACACAATTTGACAATGAAGTAGTTGCTAAAATAATGTTTAACGCATTTGTTCGCAGCAAGCTGGAATATGGTGCTGTTGTCTGGGACCCATTTGAGGACAAGTATGTCATTATGGTCGAGAAGATACAGCGTAAATTTGCCCGATGGTGCTTTCGGAAGCAATACGGGTACTATCCTCACCTGTATCCTTCTTTGTTCGTATCAGGCATGGTTGGTATGGAAACTTTGACATTTAGGAGGGTTATGCTAATACTGATACATTATCTCTCTATACTCTATCATAAGATCGATAGTCCGCAGATACTAGAGAGTGTACGCAGTTCCCCGTAATATACGACAGGAGACAGAGTTGCAGCTAGCACCGCGCCGCCGGCCTCGTTTGCTAGCGCGCCCTGTCGCGTGCACCAGGCGCGGCGAGCACGCGCCTACTATCCGCGCTTTACGAATGATTGGTGACATACTTGCTCAGTACCATGATCTTGACTTATTTGCTGATGGATTGAGTAAACTTATAAGTAAATTAAGAAATATTGTAACTAACATTATATAATTTTTTATTCCTGACATTGATTATTATAACTACTATTTTAATGATGTGTAATATTTTGTTTGACTATTTTGGTCTTTTTGTTTTATTAATTTGACTATTTTCGTTTTATTAATTTGATTATTTTCGTTTTATATTTTTTTATTATTTTATTTGTTCTGCAATTATTTCAACTAATTTTTATTTTATTTTAATTGCGATTTATTTGGTAATTTAATCATGACTTAAAATAGACAATTTTAACATAATGTATCCTAATGTTGCAAGCGTGAAGGATGATATCATCTGTTAGCTTATAGGCATGTATGTTATAAATAAATAAATAGACAGCAAGGGATAAAACAATTAATTTGAATATTAATTTATGTAGAATAGTTATTAGGCGATAACCGACAACGACACCATAATAACAAAGCGAAAATAGTTATAACTGTGACATTACAGTTTACAATTGACAGGAAGTTTGACACAACATAATGATATTTTTAGGTGATCGATGCATTTAGGAATCCCTAATTATTCAAAATTTTAAGCCTTAAATAGGACATGAAATATTTAGTTGATATTGATTTCGCGGGTTCGCATTGTTCACAAGTTTTTATTAATCGATTATTGGCTCATTGACATCGATGTTTGACATGTGGCAACATCTATAAAACCAACTTAGATGAAAAACATAAATAAGTTAGAAAACTTGGGGTATTTTTACCCACAATTACTGTGTCGTGAGTCCGTTGCAATATGAAAACATACAATCTTTTATCAATATTATTATTATAGAAATATCGATATTGGCTACTGTAATAACCGCCATTTTATCCTCTCAGTAAAGAGATTATCTACTATCCCCTTTAGGGGTACATATGTTTTGTGGTTTCTTTACTCTTTGGTATAAGAGTTCTGTATCCTATTAGTAGTATGTGCTATTTGTTATAGATTCTTTCCGGAAAAGATCGATTTTTAAATCGGTACAAATCGAAATTGATGAATCGATTCTCAATAAAATCGAGGTCTAAAAGATCGATTTCACAAAAATCGTATATAAATTATTTTTTTGATCTGCTTTCAAATTCCTGCAAAGTACAGATTACAAACGTAACTTACTTTTTATTTCTTTAATCTATTAAGAAGAGGCGAAAGAAACAGCACACAGCAGTTTTTCTAGTTTTTGAATAGAGAAACTCGTTCTTTACGAGTTTGGATACATTCAACTAATTGCAAATAATTTTATAATTCTTATGGAAACAGAAAAAAATCTCGATTTTCTAGAGTGAAATATTGATTCACTAGATCGATTCCATACTATATTATATCGATTTTAAAAAAATATGTCTTTTTGCACAAGAAATCGATTCTCAGATCGAAATGCCTATTATCATAATAATGATAATTGGCGTTAAATTTACAGCTTGCTACATAGTACATATTTATTATCCTGTCCTTTAAATTTATTCATTTATATCGTTTTTACATACTACTTCTAAATTTATTTCGGTAATCTGTGAAAAAAGTTTTGTCTGAAAACTGTGGGAGTTTTGGCGGGAACTTGGCCGTAGACTTCGCTCTTGTTTTGTCACTTGAATATCTTGTTTTGTCACATTGATAGTAAGAAACCAGCTGTGGCAATGTATATGGATATGACTAAGGCCTTCGATTATGTAGATCATAATCTACTACTAGACAAATTATACATCTATGGAGTTAGGGGAAATGTGCATAGTCTAATGAAATCTTATTTAAAAGACAGAAATCAAATATCACAAATTAACCGAATAGATATCAAGTCGAAAATCGAAAAAATATACTCTTCTGATACATAATTGATTAAATACGGAGTTCCTCAAGGTGGAGTACTTGCCCCTCTCCTTTTTATCATTTATATAAATAACTTTCCAAATTGTACAAGACACCAAATGTCGTTATTTGCCGATGACAGCACTGTAATTTACAACAGTAATAACTATGATGAAATAGAAGGTGAAATTAATAAGAGTCTTATATCAATTATTGACTGGCTGAAAGAAAACAACCTAAAAATTAATCTGGATAAAACGAAAATAATGACATTCCAAATTAAAAAAAAACACCTCAATAAATCTACACATCAAATATACGGGTCAAGACGTAATAGAAACAAAAGTTAAAAAAATTTTGGTACTACTTATAGACATAGATATATTATAGATATGTCGTGGAAAACTCAAATTGATTATATTTGTAAAAAATTGCACCTATTAGCATACGTTCTTTATATGTTGGGAAAAATTGCTAACCAGAGAGCACTATTAGCAGCGTACTATGGCTATGTCGTTTCAATCCTGAGATATGGCGTTATATTTTGGGGAAATGCACCTAACATTCGCGAAGTATTCATCGCAGAAAAAAATGTCTACGTGCGATCTGTAGTTTAAAAAGCACAAACACATGCAAGCTGCATTTTCAAAATTTAAAAGTTATAACATTTCCCTCATTATATATTTATGAAACAAGCATTTTTGTAAAACGTAATATTAACATGTATAAGTTTGTGGAAAGTCAACGTCGCTCAGATAAGCTTCATTTAGTATCAAGTAGAACTGTTTTATTACAGAAGAGTATATATGCAGTGGCACCAAAAGTATATAACAAAATACCTAAATACATTAGAGATTGTGACAACATTAATATTTATAAACGTAAACCTTTTGATCTACTAAATGAAAAAGCATATTATTCTTTAGATGAATTCCTTAGCGACACATTTTAACATTAAAATACTACATTGAATATATACCTATCATGACATGTGCCAATGAATACTAGATGAAAATTAGACAAAATGATAAATTTCACGCTGATGAAGTTGCAGGAAGAAGCTAGTAATTACTATTTTTTAGCTAGTAATTAGCTTTTGCCCGCGACTTCGTCCGGGTAGATGAAACTAGATCTAATAGAACATTTAATTGGTTTTTTACGTTATTAATTTTGATATAACATAAAAATTATTGTGTTAAATGTTTGAATAGTTATAAAATATAACAATTCTTATTATTGTGAAGGAATTTAAACGTTAAACAAACATGAAAATAAAATTTTGAAAAAATGAAAAAAAAAACATTTTGTTATATTATAAGAACACATTTAAATCTTTGAAATATTGTTGTAAGCTATAATTGATGCCCCTAGCTCCATCTAGTGTTGGGAAGCAGAACGAGTAGAGCTATCTATAAAATGCCATACCTGAACTTTCCACCAACAGCGCCATCTAGTATCTAATAGAGGAATTAAGCTTTCTAGAAAAGTCCACACTCGAATTTTCTACATCTAGTCGGTCTGGACCGGTATTTGCTAGAAAATTCTGGATATATCAGTGGAAAAGGCCTATATAATGCCGTTTGAGGCCACGACCGGAGGAGTATTGAATTGGCGAT